GGTCCACACCTTAACCCGCCCCCCTGATGGAAGGTCCGGTCCACACCTTAACCCGCCCCCCTGATGGAAGTGGTTCAGTCCAGGATGGACTCACCTGAGTTCACTGCTCAGTTTATTGTTTCTGTAAATGTGTTGATATGAATAAAGCTGAATGACGTCTTTACTGGTTTTTGGAGCTGGTGCTGAAGTTTGAAGGAGTTCATGTGTGTTGCACGACCTGTCCAGGTGAACCTGCCTTCACCTGAGTCAGCTGGTGTTTCTTCGGGGGTTTGAGGAGCTTGTTGTAGTTCAGGGGCTTTTACAAAGTGTCAGTTTAAGGCAGTCCACAACATTTTCCTGGTAGTTTAAGGGGTGTTACTGGTTAGAAGCAGTCTTTTGGGGGATTTAGGATGCTTTCAGGAAGTCCCACTGGTAATTTAAGGGGTTTTCACTGAACTTAAGCAGTTTACTGGGCTTTAATGGGTTTAAAGGAAGTTTTGTTGGGTTAAAGTGAGCTCATTATTTGTGTCTCCTGAGGTGTTAACTGGCTTTAAAGCAGTAATTTTAGTCTTTTTGAATTGTCTTATCAGCATCTATGTATGTATGGAGGGAGGGGGCAGTTGAATCATTGATGTGTCTGCTAAGGAATAAAGCAGCAGAACCTCCAGCTGGTCCTGGAGAACCTTGAGCAATGACTCTCTGGACCTGCAGGGGGCAGCAGCCATTCACAAAAACTCAAGGATGGAGGAAAAGAATTATTTCAGGAGTTAGAACACGCTGACTGGTTCCACTTTACACGTGTGCACATTTAAACAGAACATTTCTGCCACTGCAGGAAAACAGAAGTGTTTTATCTGACAGCAAACAAAGATTGTTCATGAAACATTTAGGTCCAAATGAATATGATGGATTTTCTCTAAACGACAACATGACGCCTGCGCTGTCGACTGTGCTGCTGTCAGACTGTTACTGAATGTAAAAGACTAAAAGTTAATGTAGGAGAAATTATAAAAATGCAAAAAAAGGAGGATGTCTGGAGGAACTTTATCGGCACAAGGAGAAGAAAAAGTGTTGAAACCCAGAGAAGGGTGAGAAAAAGGCTCCAAAGGGTTAAAGAGAGTCTGGATGTTCTGTTACAGGTAGAAGGAAAGAACAAAGCAGCTGCTGATCCAGGTGCAGTGAAACAACACGAAGGAACAAACCTGTAAAGGTCAGGAAAGAACCAAATGTATGAAATGAGTTGTTCATCCACGGTTTTATTACAATGATGCAGATAAATCACTGTAGCATCCAACATACACAAAACAATGGAGGAAATGACCAACTAAATAAAACACAAAGAAAACTCCAGAGAAACAGCTGGAAGTGTGGAACATGAACTGAGATTCAACTCTGAGCTCACATTTTAATATCAAGACTGATTCTAGTAAAAACAGGAAAATGGAAGAACCGTCAGCGCTTCCTGTTACGGTAGTAGGAAGGATTTATTAGTGGGAAGGTCCGCTTTGTGCTCACCATGGAACGCTCAAGGAAAGAAGAAGAAATCTGGGATTCATTGTGAAGAAACCGGAGGCCAAAGGCGGCGCAGCGGCCGGACGGGTGGAGGCCGTGTCGCTGCTGCTCCTGCAGGGGGCGCCGGCGCAGCGCTTTGCTCTGTTGCAAAAGAAGAAGAGCAGACGAACACAAATACGACAACAGAGTGAAGCTAACCAGCAGCTAACCAGCAGCTAACCGACCGGCCAAATAAACTCCAGTTCTGAGCGTCACTTTGTCCTCCTGCCGGACCAGAGCAGCTTCCGTCCGCAGCAAAGAACCGAACCTCTGCCGAGATGCCTGAAAGTAAGTCCGTTAGCTTCATTAGCATGCTAACAGTCCGTGTAGCTAGCAGCGGAGCTAGCTTCTAGCTACACGGACTGTTAACATCCTGACGGTAATAAAACACGTTATTCTGGAGGAAATATGCATAATTATTGATAAGACGCGCCGGTGGCGTGTTTATGGACCCGGTTAGTGGTTGACAGACTCACAGCGAGACGAGGCTCAGTTAGCTTAGCTTAGCTTAGCTCTCCTTCACCAGACTGTTCATATTGTCGCCGGTTTGAAACAGTTTTTGTTTTCGTTGTTTCATCGACAGCAGTTTATAACAGATTAATATCAAAGCGGAGTTTTTCTTCACATCGGCTCAACTGGATGATCAAAGAAAACTCGAGTTTTTTCAGGCAGTTCTCACTAAACGTCGCTGCAGCATGAGTTGAACTGAGAACATTAACAGATTATTTTTAACTGTTGTGTCATTTCTCAACTACTCAGATGATTTGTTATCAGTCTGAAACATGTTTTTTTTTTTTTTTTTAAAGAACACTTTAAATTCTCTGACTGCAGCTTCTTCAATGTGAATGTTTTACTTCCGACAGTAAACTGAAGCTCTTTGGACAGAACAAGACCTTTGAGGAAACTCTGATCCACACTTTCATTATCTTCTGGCATTTCAGAGACCAAACATCTGATCAATTCAGATCCACAGTGGAAATAACCATGCACCTGAACGTCAGTTAATCAACAAAGATAATTTAGTTAAATGAGCTCCTGATTACAGGAAACTTGAACCAAAACACTGTCAGGTTTGAAAAAAAAAGCACAAACAGCTGCTGTTAGTTTGAATCAGAAGCTCTGAAGTGAGCTGTGACCCGTTTCTGTCTGTGATCGATATCGTTTGGTCTGATGTGCAGCAGCTTCAAACTTCTCAGATATGAGAATCTGCTGCCAGTAAATGTGGTCAGAAGCTCTGAGTTCAGCCGTAGCTGTTGTTTTATTATCGATTCAGGTGTCCAAGAAGTATTCAGTCTCAGAAGTCAAACATTCACAACGAAGAAGCTGAAAACAGAATTTCCTCAAAAAACAACATAAAACACTCAGTTTGTCCACAAAATCTGTGAGGAAACATCAGATTGTTAAACAGCGCCCCCTGCTGTCAGACTAACCTGCTGTTTGTTTTGCAGCTGAGAGCTACTCCAACCCTTTGGCCCCTGAAGGCCACGAGGTGGACGACCACAGAGCTGCTGCTCAGTGAGTCCGGATCATATTAATACTAATCAATAACTGATATTGCTTCCTCTGCTGTTGTGTGATTGCTCTCCTGGTGTAATGTGTCTCTGTGTTCAGGTCCAAACTGACCAATGACGACTTCAGGAAGCTGCTGATGACACCGCGGGCGGCGCCATCGTCGGCTCCGCCCTCTAAGTCCAGACATCATGAGTGAGTGACAGAAACTCTGACCGCTGTCTGTCTGCTGTCTGAGCAAACCTTAACCCGTCATCGTTTATTTCCCAGAATGCCAAGGGACTACAACGAGGACGAGGACCCTGCAGCGAGGAGGAGGAAGAAGAAGAGGTGAGCGTTATTGATCAGGTGCTTTTCAGCTGCGGGACTGCGACTGATCATCAACTGGAAGTCGTGAAAACTGCGAGCGTTGTGTGTAACTGTGTGACTGAACTCTGTATCAACACAATGTCGGAGCTACCACACAGAAGGCGATTCATCGAGACGAGAAGCATCGGCTGGTTACCATGGTTACACCTCTCACCTGTTTTTGCGTTGATCTGATCAGAATACTCTTGATTGATCATTGATTATCATTGTGTTGCAGTTATTATGCTAAGCTACGTCAGCAGGAGATGGAGAGAGAGCGAGAGCTGGCCGAGAAGTACCGAGACCGAGCGAGAGAGCGACGAGACGGCGTCAACAAAGACTACGAGGAGACGGAGCTGATCAGCACCACGGCCAACTACAGAGCTGTGGGCCCCACCGCTGAGGCGTGAGTGCTGCTAACACTAGCACTGATAGCACTGATAATGCTAACTGTGCTAACACTGATACTGCTGACACCTACACTGCTAATGCTAATACTGCTAACAGTTATAACACTAGCAGCGCTAACTCTGTCAACATGAGTACTGCTAACACTGCTAGCAGTTGTACTATTGTTAACACTAATACTGCTAACGCTAATACTGCTAGCAATTATACAATTGTTAACACTAAATAACACAGTGATAACAGTAACAGTGCTGACTCTGCTA